AAAAAAAAAAAAAAGAAAACCCAGACTGTCCACTCAGCACATGAAAGTCTTACTCTCATAGAATTCATTTATGTTAAAAGTGGTGTTCCCATAGGGTACTGCGCGAAACATTAGTTCCTCCTTCAAAATGCTTCCTGTTCAAGTGTTTCCATCTCAGAAATCCATGCTATAACATAAGAGCACTGAGAAAATTTAGATACATACATATGCATACAGTGTGAATTGGATTTCCCAATGATTGCTTTACTTTAGAGGTTAGGAGGAGTTGATATTCTCAAATCTACTTTCCTAATACACCATGGACTGCTGACTATTAAATTATCTCCATCTTGAATTGACTTATAATTTCAGCATGTTCTAACATTCCATGTGCATGCCAGTTTACTTCGGGTGACCTGAATGTGTGACTCTTGGGTGAAAGAGCCCCGCTTTATAGAACCTTTGAGCCTTCACATCTTGGATTCCCACCCCTCTTTTTTTCTGCGGTACCATTCCATGTCTCTGTTTTAGCACAGGCGAGAATCTAATTCTCTATTTACAAGTCTTCCCTGAGTTGGAGCCCTGACTCTGACTTGGGAAATGAAGCTAACGTGCAGTACATTGGTATTTGAATGTATGCCACAGTTACAGGCCCCTGATGTATCACTGCACTACAGACACGACCTCCTTACGTTGCAGATTTCTGTTTTAGTTTTCTGCACGGTGAAACAGATCCAAGGGATAAGAAATCATCATTCCAGGCTCATATGACTAGGCAGTAGCTCTAAAAGGGATATGACTTGATTTCCAATCATAGTGCTTTTGAAGTCATGAGGCTATTTCCCAGAGCCACAATGCCCCTGTATCAGCACCCTCAGCCCCCTCCTTTCTGATACGACTTATGATTTCGCAACACTGACCTCACCATCCTGTTTGGCTTCGTCTTGCCCTTCATCCTGGTCAGGTTCGAATGCAGTGCCTCGGTCCACAACCTCCACACCAGCTTGTACCGTGGGCTTCTCGTTTTCCCACTTGGCAAAGCCTTTGTCCTTGGCTGCTTTGTCATGGAACTTGGATTTCATTTTGGGGAACGTATGGGACCCCGAGTCTCCCCAGCCAGCCTCTGACCACACAGGTTCCGTCTGGGTAGCTTGGCTAGTGGTGGCTCGCTGTAGCCTCACGGAGATTTTACGAGAAGAGCCTGTAACCAGTGTGATGGCTCTGCTGTCCAGGTCCCGGTGTCCAGCAGTGACCCCAGGAAACTCGAACACCTCATCCTGCACTAGAAGGGAGAGGAGAGTCGTGATTATTTGACGTCCGTCTGCTCAGTAGCAAACCATCACTGTTAGTACGGATGCCAGAAATCTGATATGCAAGGTCCCAGAGGAACTGACTCGGGCTAGAATTCAACTAAGCAACAGCAGGTGAGCATGTGAGTGAGCTCACCAAAAAAGCAAACAGAGTTAAGGATTTAGCATCTAAGGAAGCAAGTATCCTTGCTGTTTATATGGCTCAGACCCTAAGGAGATGCAGAACACAGATGAAGGACAGGTGTGGAGAGACACTGTGACAGTGAAGAACACAGAGAGTGTTACCTGGGGGTAAAGCTGGGCTTCCAGGCAGTGACCCAGGATTGCTGCCCAAGGAAGGTGCCCGGGCAAGTCTCCTGCAGGCCAGAACCAGGAGGTCTTTGCACTGCTTGTGACAGTTGGCTCCACAGTCTGAAAAGAGCCCAAAGGTGTCACAGGTGAGTGTGACGCATGTGTGTCTGACCCAGCTTCTAGGGTGGCAAAGGAACTGCTAGCCCTTCCCCTCCCCCCATCGGAATTCCAGGGATGACTCTGAGAAGTTCAGGGGCCTTCTTCCAGCTCACGTTAACTCTTCAGCTTCCTTTGTCCCAAGGGACCTAAGTTCTCCACGAGGCCAAGAGCGTTTATGGTTTGATCAGACAGATGTGTTTCCTACCCCAAATGTCCAAATTACCTTTGCATTTGTAGCCTTGTTTGATGATGCCCCAGAGCTGAAACAGAAGACAAAGGAACGTCAGAGCATGGGAAGAGAAGCCCTAGAAAGAAAACAGACCCACAGAGAAGGAAGTCCTGGGAAGTTCGGGGCCTGGCCGCTCACAAACAGGATGTCACTGCTCTGGACACCCTTCCTGTCGGAGAGGAGCCTTCCCCCAGCCCCCTCCAGCTGTGGTGAGAGCTTCCCTTGTCTTTCTCGGAGCCAAGCGGTAGCTGGCATGGGAAATTAAAGTTAGTAAGCTGACAAGTTGTTTCAACTTTGGTGACAAAGTACTCTCAAGCCAAATGTAGAGGAAAACTGACCTATGGGTCTTTCCCATCTTTCTTCTTAATGACCCTGGCTGCTTTTGGCGCCCTCTGCAGGAAAGGAAGCAGCCTCAGCGTGCACTTACTAATTTGGATTTTGCCAGGTAAAGAGGGGGCAAATGATCTTAGGCATTGTGTCTGCATCAAGGCTGCGGGAGATGTCAAGAAGGCTCCAACTCTGCCAACCAAGGACATGATGATTTCCCTGAAGTTGGCTAGTCAGAAATGATTGCTGAATAAAAGTTATGGGAAGGCTTTGCGAAGGACTTAGCTGCTGCACAGGACGCCAACACACCAAAATAAAAATCGGAATACAATCACCCACAATGCTGAAACTAAACTTTAATCTGACTGACCTTCCCAGGAACCAGGAGAAACAACAACCAAATTCTTCCTAAATGGCCAGTTTCAATTTGTTGCCTACTGTTAGTTTTATGCGGCGGCACAATGTTATTCATTAAGCAGCGATGTTTACCATGTGAGGAAAGCCACGAGGTACGACAATACCCACTATAAGAGTTTATTAGGAGAAGGAACAGAGAGGAATGTGCTTTTTAGGCCTATGGAAGGTTGTGCATGGAGAGAGAGGAAGGAGAAGGGGAGGAGGAGTCTGTGGCCCACTTTTTATGGACACTGTCCCCCCCCAGCACATGCACATAAGGCTTACGTAGCTGCACCATGCATGCACATAGACATAGCTACACCACGCATGCACATAGATTGCTTGATCACGCTGTGTGCAAATTAC